GAAAGTCGCTTCTGGTATTGGGGCCATAAAACGAATAAGGCACCTTGTCCCTCAGGCGACCTTACAACTAATATATCAAGCTTTAATACAGCCACACTTTGATTATTGCAACATTGTTTGGGGAAACTGTGAGATAACCTTACGGAATAAGGTTCAAAAGCTACAAAACAGAGCAGCCCGTGTTCTGACCTACTCAAGCTATGACGTAGATGCTGGTCACCTTTTCAAACTTCTAGGATGGAAAAACCTAGCTTGCCAGCAACAATTTCAAAGAGCTACGATGGTTTACAGGTCTCTGCACGGGTTGGCTTCAAACTATCTTAGTTCTAAATTTGAAAGGCAAGAAGTCGCATATAACCTTAGGGACTCTGAAAATAAACTCAATGTTCCATTACCGCGCACAAACTACTACAAAAACAGCTTCAGCTATAGTGGCGCCATTCTCTGGAACAGTCTTCCTTGTAACTTAAGGGAAGCAGAGTCCCTTGGGCAATTTAAACGAATACTCAAAGAACTGTAAGGCACGGCATTCGTGGAAAGCAGCTTAATTATTTAATTTGTTTTTTATTATATTAGTATTAGGCATTTTTAAAGCTGTTGAATTTTGTGCCGTGGATAAATAAAGATTATCTATCTATCTATCTAAACGCTAAATAGCGCCCCCTTTCCTAACGTTTTTTTCTCTTGGCCCAGATTTCGAGCTTAGTTTGTACAGGCTCGCTTGTTGAATAAGCGAGAAAGTCGCCAGTACGCGCGTGCCGAAAGGGGAAAGGGCTTGAATGCTTGTAGGGGAACCGACTCTTCCTCTGAAAAGAACAAAAAAATTTTCTTGTTTTCCTTTGTGTGTTGTCAGTGTGGGGTTGTGTGTTTTGCATTCATGCAGGAATACCTAAAACATTTTTCCTTTTTTTAATTTCTGTCTTAGCCAAGCAAAATGCAACTTGGACGGAACGTTTACGACTCGCGCACTTGGCATTTAGTCGGTAGTCCCTGTTGTCAAACTTCCTCTCCGGATCCCTGGATGGATTTCAGCGTGATACCTTTTTGCCAAAATCGTGCACTACATTGTGAAAATAGTCAGCTTTGACAGCAGAATTTCTATGAGCAGTTTTAACAATTGAAATAATTTTAATAGGGAGACAATATCACCAGTGCCAAAATGATACTAGCTGAATTCTTTTCGCTTTATTATTTATCAAGGGCCCATCACCCGGAACGTTCGTTCAATGCTTAGACTGTGTTTTAGACTGAAGTATACTTTTAGATATCTTTTCGCATGAGCGAAATTAACCGTGCTCACAAACTCTTGCTAGGCTCTTGGCTGATCTTACCCATTATCATTTCGTTCACTTCATGTCCTTCATTCATCATTTCATTCGTTCATTCGGGCATCCATCCATCCATCCATCCATTCATTCGTTCTTTCGTTCGTTCGTCCATTCATTCATTCTTTTCATTCATCATTTTATTCATGGTATTGTTCATTCATCATTTTTTTTAATCATTCATTCTAATTCCTTTCAGGTTTTAGTACTTTTCTTGGCATGGTAGTTCTGGCCTTTGCCGCTTCCGAGATTTTCCGGATATTTTTTAAAATGTTCCTTGGTATCGCCGTGTTCGGCCTTCTTCACGGACTGTGCATACTATCAGTATATCTCTCTTTATTTGACTGCAAACCTGCTATAACGAAGCCTATCCCGGCTGTTCACGTGAGCGACGAGTACCATTCTGAAAATGACGCTGTCGTTGATAGATTACAACTCGACGGCAAAGGAAGAAATGAAAAAGTGAGTACAGATGGTGATTTGAGAAGTGCCTCTTCGAATGAGGGCTTTGAACTGCACGAGCAGCGGCCTTTGAACGAAAGCACTGATGATTACCGATCTAAAGACGATGCCACTGATTATATGATGAACGAACAACACGGTGGGGATAAAGGGCCCATAAAGGCAACCACAGAGGGTGATTTGAGGAGTGCCTCATCGAATGAGGGTTTTGAACTGAACGACCAATCTCGGCCTTTGGACAGAACCGTTGTAGTTAAGCAGGCACACCAAGAAAATAATGAGAGTAATGTCCACAATGAAGTACATGACATGGAAAAGGAGGACATTGAAGTTGAGAGTAACGATCCTACAGAGGTTCCGCAGAAATCCAACGCTGAAGAAAGTGGAAGAGAGCGTTTCCTTACAACGCAAGCTAGCGAACATGGACAAGAAGAGGGCGGAAATTCAAATTCGAAGAGATATGCTGAACAAGATACTCCCCTTACGTTAAATGAGAAAAACATTGCATCGGATGACTCAACAAAATTTTAGATTAGTAGCCCGGCTTAGAACTAGTGTGAATAGTAGTGTAGTATAAACATACAAACATAGATGTTATATAATATAATATAAATAATATGGAAATGAATTATGGGTAGCATCAGTCTTTTGGAGGAGTCCCTGTGAATTAAATTACAAACACAGGATAAGTCAGTTTCTCTTCAACTGGTCGAAGTCAGTACCACGTAGCCGTTGCCAAATTATTTCGCAACTTTTCCTAGTTATGTTTCTCAACAAGCTAGATCATATAATTAGTTTGTAAATTAAGCCTCATAACTACATGACAGTTTCACGCTCGTAATTTAGCGTTTACAGCACCTTGTAGTGCACCTAGTAGTAGAGTTGATATGCAACAACGAATTTTTAATATGGCAACAATGTTGGAACAATGTTGTGACAGTTCGAAGTAATAGAGCAACAATGTTTCAGCGACGTGTTGCGCTGAAAATTGTCGCGCGGATCATCCCGTGTAACATTGCCTTTACTTGCAAGATCGCTGTTACTCATTAACGGGAGTAACTTTTGATGGAATTTAGTTTATAGTACATGAGATAGTCAAAAAATTAATTCTTAGTGTCCGGAATGTTCAATTAGCCTGGCAATCGTAACGTTCCGATGAAACGGCCAGTCTCATAAACGTCACTTGTAAATACAGAAAGCTTAGATCGGACTCGATAGTTGCAACTAATACATTGTTCAGATCTCTTTCGTTTTGGTGGTTGCTGAAAACTAAACATTTTTAGCAACTTGTGATTTACATGGAAAGACTTTGAATTAAACTAAAAAAAGCAAGGTTAATGAACAACACTGTCTTTGCGTTCTCTTTCCGGGCCGTTAAAATAAGCTCCAAAAAAAACTACATTTAATGCATGATGAGCCAGGTAATGTGGGGGCGCTTGGACTGCGAATTCGAAAATGCTGTTTTGTTCGATTTTCCAAGAGCTGATTAGAACGAACTAAGGTGGTGAACGCTTTTGATTGAGGGATCTCGTAACTGAAATGTAGTGAACTAAACGGGAGTAGGAGAAAAGAAATTACATTGCTTGCAGTCTACGTGATGATGACACTTTGCCATTGCGGAGCAAGTTTGATAGTTTATTCTGGGTTTTCTCATGACGTCACAAGATATGGAAAAAATAAAGCGGAAATTATCCATCCTCCTGAGGTTTTTACTTTTGTGAAGTATTAGAGCAGCTGGAAGCTTTTTTTTTTTTTACAAATTCTCATTTCGGAAGGGTGCTTCCTTTTGTGATAGAGTATGCTTGAATTAATTTCTAACTTTTTGTGTGACGCGTCATTTACGTCTGTCCAGTAAGTTAAGAAAGTGAGACATATTTTGGGGACTTTGCCATCTGAACAGCGTTGTATTAGGAAAAGTGTTACTTTAATGGTTTTTAGTTTTTCAAGGGATGAATTCACGCTTTTGTAGTAAAATTCGATAGCCCATCCAGATGGGCACCAACATGGCGTCTCCATACAAAGCTTTAATTTCTTCGAACATCGCGCATATGCGGAAAATTGCACCGACCTGAATCTTGGCGAGGGTCTTTGCATATTTACCGTCTATCATTCCCAAGATTCTGGACATCATCTACTGAACAGTTTTTTCGATAGCGTGACAGTGAAAACCAACAATAGGATCTGTGGTGTTATAACCGGTAATTTGTCTCTCCAAATGTACTATACCTTCTCTTTCATTCTTTACATGTGACTCAATATATTTTGAAATTTACCAGCAATGTTGTCCTGGTGTCAGTAACAGTTGCTCTGGTCGGGGTTGTTCAAAGCTAGTAAGTTAAGGTAACCCAGGGTTAGTGAAATATTTGAATTCAGATATGAAAGCATAAAAAGAAAATTCACTGTAATTCTTTTTGTCCACCGTTTGATGATTAGATGATAAAAAAGAGAGAGAAAAAAACCCGGATTAGAATTTAACCCCGGGTTACCGTACCCTGGGTATCGGAGGTTTTCTTCTCGCGTGCTACAAGGAGATTCGTTGGTCGCAGGCCGACACGACACCTTAAGAGTTAACCGAAACCGGAACCGCGCATGAAAAGCCTCTGGAACCCAGGGTAGGGTTATCGCTAAGGGGCCTTCGAACAACTGGGCCCTGGCGTCGCACTTTCTAAGGCTAGATCACTTGGCCGTAAGGACCTAGGAGACCTAGGAACCACGGGAATGACACAGCTGAAGTTCATGCAAAGCAAACAATGTTTTGCAACATTTATAGATATTAATACAATAATAAAAATTCTCTCCCACTAGATATTTCGATCACGTTTCTAATGTATTGATTGTAATATAGGACGAAATTATTGATAACTGCGATCGTCAAGTCCTCACCCTTGTCCTGATAATAGTAGACTAAGTGTAAGATACATTACCCAAACTCGCTTTTCATTCGAAAAACCACAAGGTCCAGCTATCCGTGTGTACAGCCAGCTGTAATAAAGATCTTCCCTTCTTAAACTTCCCATCTCATCTCTGTATCATTAAATGGATAATAGTTTTGCCTGCTTGCCCTTTAATTTTCATTCTCCCTTGCTAAGAACAATTCTCATTTATTCAAAAGCAATAATAATGTCATTTTAACTCGCATTGGCTTCATATGAGCGAAGCGGACTTATTTTACAAAGTCCTACTTCCTACGGCAGAACGATTGGCTAAAATAAAAGGCATTACACTGTTATTGCTCCTGAAAGTTGCCCTACAGAACAGTCTTTTGATCATCGCCTTTATGTCCCTCTTGAAGAGAGCATACGCCCAAGGGTTGATGGCAGAGTTTAAAATCAACAGAGGTATCTTATAACTGAAATCATTACAGGTTATGTTAAGAAAAAGTACTGCAAAACTACAGCGAAAATATACGCCGTAACAAATAAGAAACACAACTACAACAATTGTCATCATTACAATCGCAGACTTGTCACGATGTTGGCTAAAACGACTCACTTTTCCTAAGCTAGGTGCTGCTCTACCTTGCTTATAAACAACACGTATTATCGAAGCGGTGCAGAAAGTTAATATAGAATATGAGAAAAACTCAACCAAAATAGCAAAAATACTAAAAAACAACATAGCTGAATTTCTTGACAAAATTAATAGCCGACCCACAACAAAAATTATAGGGATTGTCCACGAAAAGATTAACATTTTAGCAACTCGACATCTGGTCATAGCAGTTAGATATTTTAAAGGTTTCACAATGGCGATGTAGCGTTCGAGTACTAAACTGCACAAATTCATCACAGATGCGTAACCAAACAACCATCTTATACCACGTGTCCATAAAGGATGGTGTCCTGTAGACCAATCGCAGCCTCCTGTAATGTCGCAAATGAAGAAGGAAGGAACGACGCTCACTCCAACACAGAAATCCGCCACTGCAAGTGAGACGATGAAGGCGTTAGTTTTGGTGCGGAGCTGCCTTTTTTTGCATACAAGGAAAATAATGAAACCATTTCCAGCGATCGTTAGGATAGACAGAATCCAACCAAGAATCCAAAACCATAACTCCATTTTCAGTACTTTAACTTTGAAAATACGCTGTTTGGTACCGGTTTGATCGATAGAACTTTCTTGTCTCTTTGAGATTAAAAATTATTTTTTGATCTTAAACACCTGTTTAGTATAAACGAATGGACATGATAGATAGTCACAGAATGTTAAACGAAGAGCGACAGGCCTTTCTACCAATAAAGCAAACTAATTAAAAACGGTGTAAGGAAGCATAAACTTAACGGATGGGAAATCCGCTGAAATATTCAGCACCTGTCATTAAAAGAAAAGCAAACTTTTCCTTTTTGCGTAAGAATATTATTAAAATCGGTCTAAACATGTATTTCTTTGCATTTTGTTCTAAGGTTTCTCAGCTTTTGTAACAATTAACTTACCGGGCGACGAATGTGTGATGACAAAAAGTCGGCGTAAAATTGTTTAATATGTTGTAGAAATTATTAAAAATTGCCTGCCCAGTCAATTTAAAATATATTGTATTTTCATATTTCATATATTTTTAGAAAGAGACCACTGAAAATATTTGAGTTCTTTCTCTTGTGCTATGTTTTGCTAAGCCTTTACGGTTATTTTGAACTCGTTGTCGTGCTCAATGCAAAAGCTAACCATCAACTTAAAGGGATATAAGGCATTTAATTACTGATTATGGTACTGCATACCATAAACAACTTTGTTGTGAAGGTTATTTTTAAGATCTGTCTCATCTTCAGTTAATCGTGGGGTTGGTTTCATTACGGTGGGTCTAGGACAGTTTCCTGTTGTGGTCTTATTTTTTTACTAGTGCTTGAATTTATGCTAGATCACGAATGTACATTATTTTAATTATAATTCCATTTTTGGAATATTCTTCGCTTGTCCTTGTCAGATGAGAGTTTTTCACAAGTGGTCGTGAGTGTTAGAGCTGGGCCTTGGTTCATTAGTCAGTTTAAGTTCCGGTTTGGGTTTGTTAACCAGCGTTTTAGTATTTATTATTTTGCCGATCTCACCCGAGTAGTTTCGTTGACACCAAAACATGCAAACTCTGTGTGAGATGATCCGCTATCTTAATATTTATTGTTTATATAAATGGTCTTCCATCTTGTAACCTCTACTCTAAAGTGTCCGATGTATGAAGATGTTGCAAATTCATATGAGTACATCCTAGAGCATCAAATGAATCATGGTCTACATGAAATATATAAATTTTTAAATAGAGGATATTACACGGTGGCGCGAAGATATGAATTTTATTTTCGAGTGGCAAAACAATATTTTACGAACGAGCGCAGCGAGAGAGTAAAATATTGTTTTTAAAATTCATATCTTCAAGCCGCCGTGTAATATTCTTTTTATTATGTAGACAAAATGACATCGATAAAATAATAGAGGGAAATTACCAAAATTACGCCATCGATAAACTCACGCGTGAGATTATGGAAAATAAACCACTCGGGTCCCGGATGTTGTTTTTATGAAATTTACGAGTGGTATATTTTCCAGTAAAACACTCGTGTCTATATAATAATAACAAATAAACTTAGCCTTAACCTGATAAAGACAAAATATATGATTGTAGCTAGTCAATATCGGATAATAAAACACCTTGAGCAAACCTTTAATATTCATGTCGATCACAAATCCCTTATTAGGGATGAGACGTCTTGGTGTTGAAATAGATCAATAATTAACTTGGAGAGATCATGTAGACAGAATTGCTAAGGAAGTCTTCTGGAGGGATTGGAATTCTCAGACGTGTAACGCATCTCATGCCTTATTATACATTAAACTACTACAATAATCAAAATACGGTAGTACAATGGAGTTGAACTCTTTTTTTTTTTTTGTGAAAAAAAATTTTATTGACAACATACTAACTATTAAAATCCTATTTACAATTAATTCGCTTGAAAAAAGAAAAAAAACTATTCGTTCAAAACACTATTTACAATTCCTGTCGATTTAAAATTCGAATTAAAAACATTTCATTTCAATAAAAAAAACTGTCAGCCTCTAAAATTCAAACGTTTCTTTCAAATGTTTAAAGAAAATAAAATAAAATAAAGACAATTAATAAAGCATCTATAGCTGTTGAGGCTAGGGAAGTCCTGCTTGACCCTTCTCTATTTCTCGATCCCTGTCCTTAACATCTAAGTTCCTCCTTCTCGGGGGTTCTCGATCCCCTTATAATTAGGCACAGGAGCGCGCTCCGCAAAATTGCAAAGGACACTTTCGCCCTGACCCATCAAATTGTTGTGGCGTAGCTCTCGTGCTTTTTTGCAGATAATAGCTCGGCTAATCTTGAGTGGTATCTCAGGCATTCTTCAGCCATCCCTCCCGTCGTTCTAAATACCAGTGGGGTGAATGTGCTTTGTTCTATTTCTTTGACCCGAGAGTTGTATTTTCGCTTCGTTTCATTTCCATGAATCCTGTAGATTTGCTTGGGGCTAAGATCTCTTTTCGAGTTGAACTCCATTGTACTACCGTATTTTGATTATTGTAGTAGAGTGTGGAGGAGCTAGGGAGCTGTGGGGAAGGGATGCGTAACAGACTCCGGACCCTCCAAAACAGAGCTGCCAGGGTGGTGACCTCCTCTAGTTACGATAGACGATCAGTTGAGAAACTGGATGAACTTTAGTGCGATATTGTTAAGATACGAAGGAGAAGGCAATTAGCCGCAATGATGTATACACTGAAAAATCACATTGCACCAGATCATTTGGCTCAAATTTTTAATAGTATAAACTCTATATACGCCTATTATCTAAGAAACTAGACTGTTCACAGTCCTCTATTTTTCCGTAAGATCATCGAGATCGAGCGCTTTGTGTTACGGGCTGCCATCTTGCGTGAGTGTCAAAACTACTTAGGGGGCGGGAGCGCTTTGGGAGGAAAAAAAGTTACTGAACTTTCTACTTTGTACACTTGTCGTAAAAGAACAGCAATTTATACGCTACAAATTCCGAATTATATTCATCCAGTGTTAACCCTCTAAGGTTTTTCTGAGTTTTTCCTTATAGACGATAAAACATCAGTACCTGACGTTTTCAGCAGCTGTTCGTTTATCCCTCGCGCGCATTTTCAGACCGGTTTAGTGATAGCCAGTTTCTATAGGTACGAGATATGACGTCATTAGTAGCGGGTGTTCAAGCCATTTTTGAGTGAAAATACATGTTTTTTTTAACTTCTTTTCACAATAAAAGTAAATTTTGTGGCTAAAATGATGCAAAGTGATTATTTATGTGTTAGGCACGAAAAATTACTATTTCTCATGGTTTTAACCTGATTTCTAATTCTTGGTAAAATCCAGGATGGCGCCCAGAATGCCCACTGATGAAACAAGTCAAGATCCGCGGTGGCTCTTAGGGAAAAAACACTTTCCAGAATCCAAAAACCTTTCACAGAATCCAAAAAACACCCCAGAATTTGGATTCTGAGACATAATTTGGATTCACTGTGGCGTGTTTTTGGGGTTCTGGGTAGTGTTTATGGATTGTGGGAATTGTTTGAGATTCTGCATGGGCAGAGTTTTCTCCCTGCAAGCCACCGGCTATAAAGCCTTGCTCTAGATCAACATTGTCTGAAGAGCGATTCTCTGATCTCGCAGTGATTGCCATGCACTACTCCGAGAGATTTGAAGTGACTAAGTAGAAAAGCAACAAACACCTAATGTTGGTCGGCACTGCACTCTTAGTCCTTATACATGAAAGTTCGGGATCAAATTCCTCTGAATTCAAAACGAAGAAATTCTACAAATGCAGATGTGAAAACAGGTCTTCGGTAAAACATGATGCATCATATATTATGTTTACCCTAGGCATTTACCATAAGAAGGAAAAGGCAAATGGCTCATTAAGACCTCTTGTTTGTTTATTTTTTAGGTATTTTTGCGTGTATGCTGCCTTAACTCTGACCGTTTCATACTTAATGATTGTCACATATTTTGTGGCCATCATGTCATACGACGTAAAAAGGATTAAAGCAGGTCGAAGGGACTGTTTACCGTTCTGCCGCGCGCCACCGCCAAGGGAAAACGCCCCGGCCTGGGACGAGCCTCGTCTTCAAACCTCTAACAAGCTTATGGAAGCCTGGGCCCGATTTCTTACCTTATCCGTGGTCAAAGTCTTTGTGATAGTCTTCTCCTGGTGCTTTCTAGCGGCCGGGATATATGGTGTTACAAAGGTGGATGAAAGTTTTGACAGAACAATTTTGGCCAAGGATGATTCTTACCTCAAGAGATTTTTATCTACTCAGAAAGAGTACTTTGAGCTGTCCATTCCTGTGAGTGTTGTCAAGACTGGAAACATCGATTATGGAAAAAGATCTGTCCAGGAAGAATTGAGAAGTCTGTCCAAAATTGTGACCTCTAACAAGTATTATGAAAACAGAAATTTGTCCTGGATTGAAGTGTTTTCCCAGTATGCCCTGCACACGAATAAAAATATCCTCGGGTCGAACTTTACGCCGGAGTTGTTGTCGTTTCTTAATATATATTCAAATTTTAAACAAGACGTGAAGTTTTCCTTAGACAATAAAAGTGTCGAAGTCTCTCGAATTATGGGTTTCATGAGAACCTCGACCAGCTCTTCTTTTCAGAAAAATGCCATGCTAACGCTTCGAGAAGACCTCCAAACAGGTACATTGAAAAACCTTGCAGCATTCCCCGTCGCTCGACCCTTCATTTTCTTTGAGCAGTACGCAATCACGTCAAGGGAAACCGTAAGGAACCTTTTAATCGCGGCCTTAGCTGTACTGATTGTTACAAGCCCCTTTCTAGTGGACTGTACTGTTACGCTCCTAGTGGTGCTAAACTTTGCTGCCCTGATATGTGAGCTGTTTGGATTGATGGTGATCTGGGGCGTATCTCTGAACTCTGTATCCATGATCAATCTTGTCATGGCTATAGGATTCGCGGTTGACTACAGCGCTCATATTGCGCATGCTTACGTGATGTCAGACAAGGACACAGCTAATGAACGTGTTGTCGAAGCTCTGAGCACGCTCGGCGCCAGTGTTTTGATGGGAGGTGAGTTTATTCAAGATAAGTTAATGGAGAACAACTGTTTTGTCGTCATTTTTTTCCTCCTTTTTCCCCAGAGGATAGGCGTTGTTCATGAATAAAAAAGTCTTAATCTACTAGACTTTATGGTAAAACAATGAAATGGGTTCTGTGAAACCGTGGGTTGCCATCGAAGTTACGAATCCTTCTTGATGAAAACACGAGAATAAGTGTAGATTGCGGAGCAGGCATTCCTATGCTAAACGCTAAATAGCGCCCCCTTTCCTAACGTTTTTTTCTCTTGGCCCAGATTTCGAGCTTAGTTTGTACAGGCTCGCTTTTTGAATAAGCGAGAAAGTCGCCAGTACGCGCGTGCCGAAAGGGGAAAGGGCTTGAATGCTTGTAGGGGAACCGGCTCTTCCTTCGAAAAGACCAAAAAATTTTTCTTGTTTTCCTTTGTGTGTAGTCAGTGTGGGGTTTTGTGTTTTGGATTTTGATATCCCACAGGCATTCATGCAGGAATACCTAAAACATTGTTCCTTCTTTTAATTTCTGTCTTAGCCAAGCAAAATGCAACTTGGACGGAAAGTTTTCGACTCGCGCACTTGGCATTTAGTCGGTAGTCCCTGCTGTCAAACTTTCTCCCCGGACCGCTGGATGGATTTCAGCGTGATACCTTTTTGCCGACATCGTGCACTACATTGTGAAAATAGTCAGCTTTGACAGCAGAATTTCTATGAGCAGTTTTAAAAATTGAAATAATTTTAATAGGGAGACAATATCACCAGTGGCTAAAGGATACTAGCTGAATTCTTTTCGCTTTATTATTTATCAAGGGCCCATCACCCGGAAGGTCCGTTCAATGCTTAGACTGTGTTTTAGACTGAAGTATACTTTTAGATTTCTTTTCGCATGAGCGAAATTAACCGTGCTCACAAACTCTTGCTAGGCTCTTGGCTGATCTTACCCATTATCATTTCGTTCACTTCATGTCCTTCATTCATCATTTCATTCATTCATTCATTCGGGCATCCATCCATCCATTCATCCATCCATCCATCCATCCATCCATCCATTCATTCATTCTTTTCATTCATCATTTTATTCATGGTATTATTCATTCATCATTTTTTTTAATCATTCACTCTAATTCCTTTCAGGTTTTAGTACTTTTCTTGGCATGGTAGTTCTGGCCTTTGCCGCTTCCGAGATTTTCCGGATATTTTTTAAAATGTTCCTTGGTATCGTCGTGTTCGGCCTTCTACACGGACTGTGCACACTACCAGTATATCTCTCTTTATTCGACTCGAAACCTGCTATAACGAAGCCCATCTCGGCTGTTCACGTGAGCGACGAGTACCATTCTGAAAATGACGCTGTCGTTGATAGATTACAACTCGACGGCAAAGGAAGAAATGAAAAAGTGAGTACAGATGGTGATTTGAGAAGCGCGTCTTCGAATGAAGGCTTTGAACTGCACGAGCAGCAGCCTTTGAACGAAAGCGCTGATGATTACTGCCGATCTAAAGGCGATGCCACTGATTATGTGATGAACGAACAACACGGTGGGGATGAAGGGGCCATAAAGACGACCAAAGAGGGCGATTTGAGGAGTGCCTCATCGAATGAGGGTTTTGAACTGAACGACCAATCTCGGCCTTTGGACAGAACCGTTCTAGTTAAGCAGGCACACCAAGAAAATAATGAGAGTAATGTCCACAATGAAGTACATGACATAGAAAAGGAGGACATTGAAGTTGAGAGTAACGATCCTACAGAGGTTCCGCAGAAATCCAACGCTGAAGAAAGTGGAGGAGAGCGTTTCCTTACAACGCAAGCTAGCGAACCTGGACAAGAAGAGGGCGGAAATTCAAATTCGAAGAGATATGCTGAACAAGATACTCCCCTTACGTTAAATGAGCAAAACATTGCATCGGATGACTCAACAAAATTTTAGATTAGTAGCCCGGCTTAGAACTAGTGTGAATAGTAGTGTAGTATAAACATACAAACATAGATATTGTATAATGTAATATAAATAATATGGAAATGAATTATGGGTAGCATCAGTCTTTTGGAGGAGTCTCTGTGAATTAAATTACAAACACAGGATACTATGGCTAAGTCAGCTTCTCTTCAAGTGGTCGAAGTCAGTACCACGTAGCCGTTGCGAAATTATTTCGCAACTTTTCCTAGTTATGTTTCTCAACAAGCTAGATCATATAATTAGTTTGTAAATTAAGCCTAATAACTACATGACAGTTTCACGCTCGTAATTTAGCGTTTACAGCACCTTGTAGTGCACCTAGTAGTAGAGTCGATATGCAACAACGAATTTTTAATATGGCAACAATGTTGGAACAATGTTGTGACAGTTCGAAGTAATATAGCAACAATGTTTCAGCGACGTGTTGCGCTGAAAATTGTCGCGCGGATCATCCCGTGTAACATTGCCTTTACTTGCAAGATCGTTGTTACTCATTAACAGGAGTAACTTTTGATGGAATTTAGTTTATAGTACAGGAGATAGTCAAAAAATTAATTCTTAGTGTCCGGAATGTTCAATTAGCCTGGCAATCGTAGCGTTCCGATGAAACGGCCAGTCTCATAAACGTCACTTGTAAATACAGAAAGCTTAGATCGGACTCGATAGTTGCAACTAATACATTGTTCAGATCTCTTTCGTCGTGGTGGTTGCTGAAAACTAAACATTTTTAGCAATTTGTGATTTACATGGAAAGACTTTGAATTAAACTAAAAAAAGCAAGGTTAATGAACAACACTGTCTTTGCGTTCTCTTTCCGGGTCGTTAAAATAAGCTCCAAAAAAAACTACATTTAATGCATGATGAGCCAGGTAATGTGGGGGCGCTTGGACTGCGAATTCGAAAATGCTGTTTTGTTCGATTTTCCAAGAGCTGATTAGAACGAACTAAGGTGGTGAACGCTTTTGATTGAGGGATCTCGTAACTGAAATGTAGTGAACTAAACGGGAGTAGGAGAAAAGAAAATACATTGCTTGCGGTCTACGTGATGATGACACTTTGCCATTGCGGAGCAAGTGGGATAGTTTATTCTGGGTTTTCTCATGACGTCACAAGATATGGAAAAAATAAAGCGGAAATTATCCATCCTCCTGAGGTTTTTACTTTTGTGAAGTATTAGAGCAGCTAGGAGCTATTTTTTTTTTTTTTTTTTTTTTTTACAAATTCTCATTTCGGAAGGGTTCTTCCTTTTGTGATAGAGTATGCTTGAATTAATTTCTAACTTTTTGTGTGACGCGTCATTTACGTCTGTCCAGTAAGTTAAGAAAGTGAGACATATTTTGGGGACTTTGCCATCTTAACAGCCTTGTATTAGGAAAAGTATTACTTTAATGGTTTTTAATTTTTCAAGAGATGAATTTACGCTTTTGTAGTAAAATTCGATAACAGATGTTTTCTGTTGGTGCCTATCCAGATGGGCACCAACATGGTGTCTCCATACAAAGCTTAAAAAATCGAGGTAATATTTCTCCGAACATCGCGCATATGCGAAAAATTACACCGACCTGAATCTTGGCGAGGGTCTTTGCTTATGTTCCGTCTATCATTTCCAAGATTCTGGACATCATCTATTGAACAGTTTTTTCGATGGCGTGACAGTGAAAACCAGCAATAGGATCTGCGGTGTTTTAACCGTTAATTTGTCTCTCCAAATGTACCTTCTGTACGTTCCATTTTTACATGCGACTCAATATATTTTGAGCGTTACCAGCAATGTTGTCCCGGTGTCAGTAACAGTTGTTCTGGGCCGGGTTGTTCAAAGCTAGTAAGTTAAGGCAAGAGGCATTATGGCTCTTAGTTAAGGTAACCCAGGGTTAGTGAAATATTTGAATTCAGATGTGAAAGAATAAAAAGAAAATTCAGTGTAATTCGTTTTGTCCACCGTTTGATAATTAGATGAAAAAGAAAAAGAGAGAGAGAGAGAAATTAAAAAGAAACCCGGATTAGAATTTAACGCAGGGTTACCGTACCCTGAGTATCAGAGGTTTTTTTCTCGCGTGCTACGAGGAGATTCGTCGGCTGCAGGCCGACACGACACCTTAAGACTTAACCGAAACCGGAACCGCGAATGAAAAGCCTCTGAACCCAGGGTAGGGTGATCGCTAATCGGCCTTCGAACAGCTGGGCCTTGGCGTCGCACTTTCTAAGGCTAGATCACTTGGCCGTAAGGGCCTAGGAGACCTGGGAACCACGGGAATGAGACAGCTGAAGTTCATGCAAAGCAAACAATGTTTTGCAACATTTATAAATATTAATACAATAATAAAAATTCTCTCCCACTAGATATTTCGATCACTTTTTTAATGTATTGATTGTAATATAGGACGAAATTATTGATAACTTCGATCTTCAAGTCCTCACCCTTGTCCTGATAATAGTAGACTACGTGTAAGATACATTACCCAAACTCGCTTTTCATTCGAAAAACCACAAGGTCCAGCTATCCGTGTGTACAGCCAGCTGCAATGAAGGTCATCCCTTCTTAAACTTCCCATCTCATCTCTGTATCATTAAATGAATAATAGTTTTGCCTGCTTGCCCTTTAGTTTTCATTCTCCCTTGCTAAGAACAATTCTCATTTATTCAAAAGCAATAATAATGTCATTTTAACTCGCACTGGCTTCATATGAGCGAAGCAGACGTATTTTACTAAGTCCTACTTCCTACGGCAGAACGATTAGCTAAAATAAAAGGCATTACACTGTGACTGGAAGATGCCCTACAGATCAGTCTTTTGATCATCGCCTTTATGTCCCTCTTGAAGAGAGCATACGCCCAAGGGTTGATGGCAGAGTTTAAAATCAACAGAGGTATTTTATAACTGAAATCATTACAGGTTATGTTAAGAAAAAGTGCTACAAAACTACAGCGAAAATATACGCCGTAACAAATAAGAAACAAACCTACAACAATTGTCATCATTACAATCGCAGACTTGTCACGATGCTGGCTAAAACGTCTCACTTTTCCTAAGCTAGGTGCTGCACTATCTTGCTTATAAACAACACGTATTATCGAAGCGGTGCAGAAAGTTAAAATAGAACATGAGAGAAACTCTACCAAAATAGTAGAAATATTTACAAACACCACAGCTGAAATACTTAACAAACTTAACAGCATACCTATAACAACAAAAATTATAGGGATTGTCCACGAAAAGATGATCATTTTAACAACTCGACATCTGGTCATAGCAGTTCGATATTTTAAAGGTTTCACGATGGCGATGTAGCGTTCGAGTACTAAACTGCACAAATTCATCACAGATGCGTAACCAAACAACCATCTTATACCATGTGTCCATAAAGGATGGCGTCCTGTAGACCAATCGCAGCCTCCTGTAATGTCGCAAATGAAGAAGGAGGGAACGACGCTCACTCCAACAGAGAAATCTGCCACTGATAGTGAGACGATGAAGGCGTTAGTTTTGGTCCGGAGCTGCCTTTTTTTGCATACAAGGAAAATAATGAACCCATTTCCAGCGATCGTTAGGATAGACAGAATCCAACCAAGGATCCAAAACCATAACTCCATTTTCAGTACTTTAACTTTGAAAATACGCTGTTTGGTACCGGTTTGATCGATAGAACTTTCTTGTTCCTTTGAGATTAAAAATTATTTTTTGATCTTAAACACCTGTTTAGTATAAACTAATGGACCTGATACACTGTAAAATGAAAAGAGCCAAATCGACCCCAAAGGCCAAATCGGCCCCAATTTCTCGAGGGCCGATTTGGAACATGCTGGGCCGTTTTGGACAGAAAGAGTCAAAACAGTTCTAGATGGTACCAATTCGGCCCATCTAATTTCTGAATCGGCTACACTTAAAAGCTACTTTGGCACTTCCTCTCAATTTGGCCCTTCCGATAGCCAAATTAAAATTCCGATTTGGCCCCAACAAGGTCTACTCGGAGCGACCGCGGTGTTCGGTTGAAGTAACCATAGTCACGTCTGACACAATCCAAAGTACGGTCCGTTTAGTCGAGTAAGGAACTAAGATAACTTTAACGTAGACCTAAAACCGTGGCGACAGTCAGAGACTGTAAGGTAAATCATGGTCTCGAGCGAACCTTTGCCTCGAGCGAAGGTGCAAATCGGAAACAAAGCTACAATCACGCTCCCGAATGTTCTGCACGTGATTTCCATATCGATAACATTACATGATGCGTCACGCAAACTAAACGCTGGGAGGGCGTTACATTACAATATTCCTCGGTATTGATAGCAAACAAAGACCCAGCCATCATGTACATATATTTTCTGATTCATAAGTAAAAGGTTTTTAAGATTTCCAACGCCTGCCACAGGATAAAAATGACACGACATGTAAACAATCGAAAACATATTTTGGAAACAATACACAACTGGTCAGCGGGCTGTCCCTAAGCACATGCTCTTTGGTGTCGTCCTTTTGGCGTCCATTTGAAAGTACTGCAACGGTTGCGAACATGCCAGTTTCTTTGGGGATCAGAAGTCTTGTATTATACTTCTCGACAGCATCAACGAACATTCAAGGTGTTGTTACTAATTATTTTCGAACTATGAGCCGTCGTTGACCCATCACTTCGCTCTTGAAGTTCGTCGTGAAGAATCGGAGACAGAAGCCTCGTGAGGCGCAACGGTTTTCAAGATGAACTGCACAAAATTTTAATAATAACAAACGCTCTTCAAGAATCAAGACTTTGCTGGAAAAAGCCGATAGTAAGACCAGGTAAGCCGCCCTGATTCGCTCTCTTTCTACCAAATGCAAAAGACTGAGCCATTTTAACCACGTTTGATGAAACGGAATTCAGGGTCACTCAAGTCCACCTTGTTGGAACGCTTTGAAGAACGGGTCATTAGATGCTTTTAATTTTATTATCTAATGATAAGGAAATAAGTGACCCTGTATTCTGTAGTTAAGCCAGTGGAGG